TACGGGACAAACTAGCTGTTGTTTATTCATATTATTTAGTTATAATATGATTAAACATTGTTTTATAATCTATCAAGAAGGTTAAGACAATTAAATTAAACCTGAAACCCAGACCAGCCGACCAGCAACCCCCTAGCCAAAACTACTTAAAGAAATATTACCTTATATATTAAGAGAAAAATGAACGGTGATGGAATCAATAATTATATCGATAAAAAATGCTATGATTGTTGTCACTTCAAAAAAGAAAATATGGAATTGTATAAATTGAGTTTACCTAATGAAATTGTGAATAATATTATTAATTATTCAATGGATGGTGAAGAAGACATATGTAAAAATTGTAAAACTTGGAGAGATAATCAATTTTTAATCAAATGTCTGTTGGGAATAAAAAGAATACATAATAGAAATGTAGAAGATGATATTTTAATATTTCTAACTGTAAATAAAATACCACCTTACGATTATGTTAAACAGTTTCTTAAAATCAGTAAGAAAAAATATGACACGATTTACGATATATTATGGATGTTGGGTTATAGTCAAGAGAAAGGAGAAGATGTTAAAGAAAATATCAAATTATTTATTGAAAGTAAAAAGTTTAATATTCAAAATACATTGAGAGATATTAATATTATTTTTAAAATGATGTATGAAAGAAGAAAGATTTGTCAATTAAATTATTATCCTGTACTGAAATTATAATCATAATATAATAATAACATGTAAAATCTTATATGTTATAATTATACTGAACTTTTAACCTATAACACCCCCTTAAACTTATCTAAAGAAATAACCCCTTAAACATATAGAGACCAATGACAGACAAAAAGCAATGTTCCAAATGTGAGTCTTTCAATTGTTAGAAAAGTTCAACGAGGGAAGAAAACAATGTAATGTATGCTTGGAGAGCAAACAACGGTATAGAGAAGCACACAAAGAACAAATACAGCAAAAGTCAAAGGAGTATTACGAAAACAACAAAGAGCAGATTGTAGAGAAGAAAAAGACATATAGAGAGAATAACAAAGACACTATACTGGAAAAGAACAAGATTTATCGTGAAAAGCATAAAGACGAAATAAAGCAAAAATCAAAAGAATATAGAGAAAAGAACAAAGAAGACATAAATGAAAAACAGAAAGACTATAACCAATTGAAAGTAGAGTGTCCTTTATGTAAATGTATGGTAGGAAAATACAAAATGAAAAAACACCAACAAACAAGTAAGCACCAACTAAGAGTGAAAGGTCAAGAACACAATAACGATACTGTGAGAGATTACATGGAAACAACAAGTGACTTTGAACAAGAATAGGAATAAACAAATGAACCACCAACACCCCAGAACATAATAACTACTAAAAGGGCTAACTCTTTCAAATGAAAAAAATGTCGGCCCCCAGAAAATCCACCCCTAACACCCTACAACAAAATATAGGATGAAATCAAACAAGGGTGTTAAAACGTTGGATAACAACATTTGACCCAATAACCCCAACACTCCTCCCTCTTCCCCCCAGGCCCCCTGTTTTCTCCATTTTTTGGGGGAGATGACTGCTCTTGAAGTTTAGGGTTGAAACTTTCGGGTTTGTTTAGGGTTGAGGGCTGAGAAACATAAGGGGGGGGGTCTTGTTTAGGGCTAAAACCTTGGGGGGGGGGGGAGATGACTGCTCCCTTGAAGTTTAGGGTTGAACTTTGGGTTTGTTTAGGGTTGCGGGCTGAGAAACATAGGGGGGGGTCTTGTTTAGGCGTTCCCCTTGGGGGGGGGGGGGAGATGACTGTCTTGAAGTTTAGGGTTTGAAACTTTCGGGTTTGTTTAGGGTTGGGGCTGAGAAACATAAGGGGGGGGGGGTCTTGTTTAGGGCTAAAACCTTGGGGGGGGGGGGAGATGACTGCTCTTGAAGTTTAGGGTTGAAACTTTCGGGTTTGTTTAGGGTTGAGGGCTGAGAAACATAAGGGGGGGGGTCTTGTTTAGGGCTAAAACCTTGGGGGGGGGGGAGATGACTGCTCTTGAAGTTTAGGGTTGAAACTTTCGGGTTTGTTTAGGGTTGAGGGCTGAGAAACATAAGGGGGGGGGGGTCTTGTTTAGGGCTAAAACCTTGGGGGGGGGGGAGATGACTGCTCTTGAAGTTTAGGGTTGAAACTTTCGGGTTTGTTTAGGGTTGAGGGCTGAGAAACATAAGGGGGGGGGGGTCTTGTTTAGGGCTAAAACCTTGGGGGGGGGGGGAGATGACTGCTCTTGAAGTTTAGGGTTGAAACTTTCGGGTTTGTTTAGGGTTGAGGGCTGAGAAACATAAGGGGGGGGGGGTCTTGTTTAGGGTTTTAAAGCATTTTGGAGTGGGCGTCTGAGCAGCCAGTGGAATGAGAAGCATCCGATCATCGGACATCAGAGCCAGAGTGGCGTTCGGGACGAGAAGATGCTGATGCCTGACAGGAGCATCAAAGAACCCACTATGCCATGCAGGACGTTCTCGCTCTGTGGTTTGTAGGGCCGTGAAGGTCTTGGCACTGATGTGCCACCCTGACAATCCCTCGGGAAGCAAGGATGACTTCGTGCGCCTCACTGATGCCCACGAAGGGCTGGGCCCGCTTGACAACTTCGATGCTGCTGCTGCCGTCGTTTGCGATCTTCCCCCTAACGCCCAACGTAACCGGATTCCTAGTTTTCGAAATTGAACATCAAAGGCCAATCTAACCCTCCCACGTTACTTTAAATTTCATTCTTTGGTTAGGTTTGCGGATTACTGTGGGTCCCGGGTTGCGCGGATTTTTGATGGTCCAGCAGAGGGTTTTGAACAACACTTCGCAGCGCGGATACAGATCAAGGAGATGGCTAGGCTCCCTGGAACCCCGGCATTTCGAACAAGTTGAACAGGCTAGGTGATGTATACCCCTGGTTTGTTTCTGAGGCAGGGCTTATTCAGGTGTGAGTCCCGATGATTTGCCCAAGCCAAATGAAGCCAAGGAGCTTTGGCTGCCATGTTTTAAGGGACCTTGCCTTGGCATCATGGTGGATTTGACCGCCTAAGGGCAGAATTCTCTACTGGGATGAATTCCTTGTGAAAGGCTACCTTTGCTTGAAACCCAAGTTGTCTGGGCTGGGCTGTCCCCAAATCCCCCAAAAGTTTGACTCGTGGGTGAAATGGACACCCAGCACTCAACCAACCTGACGATTCGCTGAGAGCCAATAATTTTCCCTGCCATACCTGGGCCCTCCTAAGTATGCCTTTTTTGTGCTGTTTGGGCCAAAGGCTCCTTTTGGTGCAAACGACACATTTTTTTGCCTCAGCGCATTTTTGCATATTTTGCTGTTGTGAGAAACCAGGATGAAGACGAAAAGGCGACATTGCCCGACCCAAAGGCGACATTCCCCGACCAAAAAGCGATATTTGCCGACCACGTTTTGGCAAGATTTTGAAGCAGCACTTTTAAAAGGAAAAGGCTCTTTTTGGAGCAAACGACACAATATAGAGCTTTTTCAGCAAACGGCAGAAATACTGCATGGAGGGTCTAGGTATGTTTGTTGTGAGCAGAGAACTTCGAGTGCGGGTCGAGTTGACCCAGGCCTTGGAGCCCACAGACCTGGAGGCTTTGCGGGAGGCGGCTCAGCGCATGCGCCTGGAGCTTGGGATTGTGAATGAATTCTCATGTGATGTTTGATATATAGTAGTACGGCGACCTTGTAACTGCTTTTCGACGCTGCCAATCATGGATGCACGAGGGAAGAAATCACAGTTTTCGGTGTGCCCCTATGTTGACACGTGCCGGATGTTGCCCGACAAAAACAGCGCCGAGGATGGCAAGCCGCACGCAACCAGAATCTCGGGAAGTTCTTGACGAGCCGGTGAGGCGCGAGCCCGTGATTGCAGTTGCGTGAACGTAGATGACATGATGTCCCACTTTGATTTGGTCACCTGCGACTCATTCTGCTAGCGGGAATTGCGCCATCTACTTTCCCCATCCGCTTTTCCTGGAGCTGGGCCACATGTCTTTCTTTTGGAGGGCCATGCTGATGAAACATTGTTCTGTCAATTGCGAACCAAACCTACGCTTGAATTGGTGTGCTGCAAGTAGAGTCCTGATGAGCAGGAGCCACGAGCGTGAAGTTCTTCACAGAGCCGGTGAGGCGCAAGCGTGTCGTACCATTTGCAGTTGTGTGAGACGATGTGAGACGGCGCACTAACTATACTACAGTTTGGTCCACTGTTCTCAACCCATCCCTGATCCGAACTGACAGTGTTCACGGCTTCCTGACGGCACAGCTTTTCAGAATCGGCACGTGTGCTTCAGCATAATCTGAGACTCATACCCACTACGGAAAAGCCGTGTAGAGGGAATTGTGCCATCTACTTCCCCTCTGGCAATCAAGGCTAAGCTTGAATTGCTGTAGCGCGCTGCACATAGAGTTCTGATGCCTGGACCCTCCTAAGTATGCCTTTTTTGTGCTGTTTGGGCCAAAGGCTCCTTTTGGGGCAAACGACGCATTTTTTTGCCTCAGTGCATTTTTGCGTATTTTGCTGTTTTGCGAAACCAGGATGAAGACGAAAAGGCGACATTGCCCGACCCAAAGGCGACATTCCCCGACCAAAAAGCGACATTTGCCGACCACGTTTTGGCAAGATTTTGAAGCAGCACTTTTAAAAGGAAAAGGCTCCTTTTGGAGCAAACGACACAATATATAGATTTTTTTTCAGCAAACGGCTGAAAAATGCACACCTGGAGGGTCTAGGTATATAGATGGCGCAATTCGTTTTACGGGGGTATACTGAATCAAAGAAGCGACCAAACTTCAAGCCCATTTGGCCGCGTCCGCCCCAGGCGAGACCGGCAACGAGCGGACCTGGGCAGATCGCTTCTGGGCCGGGCCAGAACCCCAGTCGGTTGGATCTTTGATCGTACGGTCTGGGTCGTTGAGTCATTGATCACCTCGAACGCCTCGACGTCTGCCGCTGCTTGTTCAAAACCTAATCCCCAACAATTAGCGGAAAGCGGCTGTGGCAATGGAGCTCACGTACCGCTTCATTGACCTCAACGAGGCCCCGGTGGTGCCACCGGGCACGGCTGCCTTTGTGGATGTCAGCGAGGACCTCATGGGCATTCTTCAGAGGCTCGTCTTGACTCTCACCTTGCAAGTTAGCAATCACTTTTTTTCGAAACCTGAGCCACAATGAAAACCAGGTAGGTAATGATGGGATCCACTGGTTTAGATGGGTTTTGTAGCCCATTTACCAGGGCCTGTAGTGAATCTCAGGGAGAACAGCTGCCTGGAGGGCAGCCCGATCATGGCGGTGAGCCTGGAGATCGGCATCGATGACCCGGTTCCCTGGCGCAAGGAGGCCGGCACGCAGACGGAGGAGGCGCCCGTGATGAAGAAGGCCATGAAATCGATGAAGGCACCGAAGGAGATGAAGGCCATGAAGGCGATGAAGTCCATGAAATCGATGAAGGCAACGAAGGAGATGAAGGCCGTGAAGGCCGTGAAGGCCATGAAGGCCATGAAGGCCATGAACGCTGCGAAGGCGATGAAGCCCACCAATGCGAAGAAGGCCGTGAAGGCGACGGAGGCGAGGAAGGCCAGGAAGGCCATGAAGGCCATGAACGCTGCGAAGGCGATGAAGCCCACCAATGCGAAGAAGGCCGTGAAGGCGACGGAGGCGATGAAGGCCATGAAGGCCATGAAAGCCATGAACGTTGCGAAGGTGATGAAGCCCACCAATGCGAAGAAGGCCGTGAAGGCGACGAAGGCGATGAAGGCCATGAAGGCCATGAAGGCCATGAACGTTGCGAAGGCGATGAAGCCCACCAATGCGAAGAAGGCCGTGAAGGCGACGAAGGGCTCCGGCGCGTAAGTGGAAAAAGTGTGACGCTGGCTGTTTGGCAATTTGATGATCTGCGAATTGTCATGATCCGCATTGACCGCCGTCATTGACATTTCTTTCCGCAAGTTGTGTTTGGCAGAGCGTTTGAAAATCTGAGGCCGGGCTGCGCAAAGCCTGGTTGCGGGCGCCTCAGAAAGGCGAAGTGCTTACAGTGCAAGAATGGCCCACCTTGAGTGGATGTTGCTTTGAGTTGGGTTGACGGTTCATGAGCTGGGACACACACACGCACACACACACACACGTGGCTCAGGCCAGATTCCGGATCTCATGCAGCGCGTGCAGGAGCTCAGCCACAGCCGGGCGTCACTGCCTCAGAGAGCCAAACTTGCCCGTGGCAGAAGCTGCACGCAGATGGGCGTGTCGTGACACCATTTACAGTGGGGAGATGGCATGACTCTCCACTTTGCTGTGACTGTAGAGGGAATTGTGCCATCTACTTTTGTCTTTGTCGATTGTCAGGTTCACAGACACTTGCGTAAGTGCAGACTGCTTGCTTTGATTTCCGCTTTTGCGGGAAGGCAACACAGGCAGCGTGCCGGCCTGGTCGGGGAGCCAAGAATGCAGCCGCGGAAATCGCAGCTGTGTGAAAACGTTCGTTCTTACAGCGCAGAGGAACGTAACTTCTTTATTGAATTGGCAGTATCATGATTACGCTGGGGCTGTAAGAAAAGAAGCTGCTTGGTGTAACATGGTCATTTGGCGGAAAGGGTCCAGAACAAGATGGTGCTAGTTTGGATCTACACGATTGAATACTGGCCCATCTTGAGGCTCGGTACCCCAGGCACACATGGCCTGTGGCGGCCTTAGGTTGTGGCCGTGTACTGTACATTGCCCATGGTCGTGATCATGCTGCCATTCAGCATTTCTCACCTCATACATGCATCTTGAACTTGTACCGCAGAGCCAAACATGGTCAGACTCGAACTGGAGCCTTTCTTGTCCGAATGCAAGGTGGCTGGGCCCGAGCTGACCTGGTGCCGCTGGGTGTCTTTGAGCTGCAAGCTTAGATGGGGTGCGCTAATGTAGGGGCCGGATGGCCAGATGGCCAGATGGGACACCTGGCAGGGGCGACATGGGGCGACAGTCATGACGCCAAGCACAGGACCGACTTCTCAGCAACGCAACTTCCCGCTGTTGTAGTGAAAGTGTGGCTCCAGTCTCGAAATCAATTGCGGCACCAGTGGAAGGTTTTTTTCTTTCTTTTGATTTCAATAGACGCATGGTTGCACTTTGGCAGGAGTCGGAAGCGGAAAGAGACCGAGGAGGCCTGGGGGCATGTGGCAAGCGATCTGTGACTCATTGTCCCACGTAGAGGGAATTGTGCCATCTACTTTTGTACGCCTGAGCACACTGGATTGCATCAGGCGGAAAGTCGAGCCAGTGTGCCCAGAAGGCCGGTTTGCCGCGTTTCTGTGGAGTGTCTGAACCCGCGACGCGAGGCGTGCAACTTTTGCCGCAGTACAAGGCGGCGCGGTTGCAGTTGCATGCGACCTTTGGCCTATGATTCTACTGTAACTGATTGGTCCAAAGCACAGGAGGCAAATCCGAGTAGACTCAGCTTTGGATAAGATCCACTGCCAGGCAGACATCCAAGCGACGCTATCTGTGGGCGGCCACTGGCGCAAGGAGGCTGACCAGATGCTTCATCATGCTGCCATTCAGCGATTCTCACCTCATACATGCATCTTGCACCACAAAGCCAAACATGGGTCAGACTCGAAGTGGACAACTTGATTGAGCGGCATGTTTTCAGGGGCCTTTCTTGTCCGAATGCGAGGTGGCTGGGCTTGAGCTCACCTGTTGCCGCTGGGTGTCTTTGAGCTGCAAGCTTACTGTAGATGGGACTAGATGGAGGGGCCGGATGGCCAGATGGCCAGATGGGACACCTGGCAGGGGCGACATGGGGCGACAGTCATGACGCCAAGCACAGGACCGACTTCTCAGCAACGCAACTTCCCGCTGTTGTAGCGAAAGTGTGGCTCCAGTCTCGAAATCAATTGCGGCACCAGTGGAAGGTTTTTTTCTTTCTTTTGATTTCAATAGTCGCATGGTTGCACTTTGGCAGGAGTCGGAAGCGGAAAGAGACCGAGGAGGCCTGGGGGCATGTGGCAAGCGGTCTGTGAGAGGGAATTGTGCCATCTACTTTTGTACGCCTGAGCACACTGGATTGCATCAGGCGGAAAGTCGAGCCAGTGTGCCCAGAAGGCCGGTTTGCCGCGTTTCTGTGGAGTGTCTGAACCCGCGACGCGAGGCATGCAACTGTTGCCGCAGTACAAGGCGGCGCGGTTGCAGTTGCATGCGACCTTTGGCCTATGATTCTACTGTAACTGATTGGTCCAAAGCACAGGAGGCAAATCCGAGTAGACTCAGCTTTGGATAAGATCCACTGCCAGGCAGACATCCAAGCGACGCTATCTGTGGGCGGCCACTGGCGCAAGGAGGCTGACCAGATGCTTCATCATGCTGCCATTCAGCGATTCTCACCTCATACATGCATCTTGCACCACAAAGCCAAAACATGGGTCAGACTCGAAGTGGACAACTTGATTGAGCGGCATGTTTTCAGGGGCCTTTCTTGTCCGAATGCGAGGTGGCTGGGCTTGAGCTCACCTGTTGCCGCTGGGTGTCTTTGAGCTGCAAGCTTACTGTAGATGGGACTGATGGAGGGGGTCCCGGATGGCCAGATGGCCTGGATGGGACACCTGGCAGGGGCGACTGGGGGACAGTATGACGCCAAGCACAGGACCGACTTCTCAGCAACGCAACTTCCCGCTGTTGTAGCGAAAGTGTGGCTCCAGTCTCGAAATCAATTGCGGCACCAGTAAAAGGTTTTTTTCTTTCTTTTGATTTCAATAGTCGCATGGTTGCACTTTGGCAGGAGTCGGAAGCGGAAAGAGACCGAGGAGGCCTGGGGGCATGTGGCAAGCGGTATGTGACTCATTGTCCACGTTGATGGGAAATTTGCCATCTACTTTTATACGCCTGAGCACACTGGATTTGCATCAGGCGAAAGTCGAGCCCGTGTGCCCAGAAGGGCCGGTTGGCCGCGTTTCTGTGGTGGTCTGAACCCGCGCGCGAGGCGTTGCAACTGTTGCCGCAGTACAAGGCGGCGCGGTTGCAGTTGCATGCGACCTTTGGCCTATGATTCTACTGTAACTGATTGGTCCAAAGCACAGGAGGCAAATCCGAGTAGACTCAGCTGATAAGATCCACTGCCAGGCAGACGTCCAAGCGACGCTATCTGTGGGCGGCCACTGGCGCAAGGAGGCTGACCAGATGCTTCATCATGCTGCCATTCAGCGATTCTCACCTCATACATGCATCTTGCACCACAAAGCCAAAACATGGGTCAGACTCGAAGTGGACAACTTGATTGAGCGGCATGTTTTCAGGGGCCTTTCTTGTCCGAATGCGAGGTGGCTGGGCTTGAGCTCACCTGTTGCCGCTGGGCGTCTTTGAGCTGCAAGCTTACTGTAGATGGGACCAGATGGAGGGGCCGGATGGCCAGATGGCCAGATGGGACACCTGGCAGGGGCGACATGGGGCGACAGTCATGACGCCAAGCACAGGACCGACTTCTCAGCAACGCAACTTCCCGCTGTTGTAGCGAAAGTGTGGCTCCAGTCTCGAAATCAATTGCGGCACCAGTGGAAGGTTTTTTTCTTTCTTTTGATTTCAATAGTCGCATGGTTGCACTTTGGCAGGAGTCGGAAGCGGAAAGAGACCGAGGAGGCCTGGGGGCATGTGGCAAGCGGTCTGTGACTCATTGTCCCACGTAGAGGGAATTGTGCCATCTACTTTTGTACGCCTGAGCACACTGGATTGCATCAGGCGGAAAGTCGAGCCAGTGTGCCCAGAAGGCCGGTTTGCCGCGTTTCTGTGGAGTGTCTGAACCCGCGACGCGAGGCGTGCAACTTTTGCCGCAGTACAAGGCGGCGCGGTTGCAGTTGCATGCGACCTTTGGCCTATGATTCTACTGTAACTGATTGGTCCAAAGCACAGGAGGCAAATCCGAGTAGACTCAGCTTTGGATAAGATCCACTGCCAGGCAGACATCCAAGCGACGCTATCTGTGGGCGGCCACTGGCGCAAGGAGGCTGACCAGATGCTTCATGTCATGCTGCCATTCAGCGCTCTCGACCCATGCATCTTGCACCACAAAGCCAAACATGGGTCAGACTCGAAGTGGACAACTTGATTGAGCGGCATGTTTTCAGGGGCCTTTCTTGTCCGAATGCGAGGTGGCTGGGCTTGAGCTCACCTGTTGCCGCTGGGTGTCTTTGAGCTGCAAGCTTACTGTAGATGGGACCAGATGGAGGGGCCGGATGGCCAGATGGCCAGATGGGACACCTGGCAGGGGCGACATGGGGCGACAGTCATGACGCCAAGCACAGGACCGACTTCTCAGCAACGCAACTTCCCGCTGTTGTAGCGAAAGTGTGGCTCCAGTCTCGAAATCAATTGCGGCACCAGTGGAAGGTTTTTTTTTCTTTTGATTTCAATAGTCGCATGGTTGCACTTTGGCAGGAGTCGGAAGCGGAAAGAGACCGAGGAGGCCTGGGGGCATGTGGCAAGCGG